TAAATAATATATATTCATATAAATAAAATTAGTAAATATGTGACTTATTATAAGAATATATGTTAAAGTTTAATTAGTCTCTAGATCATTATCTATATATACATATAAAGTAAAATTAATTTTTTTTAATATAAATATTATATACTAAGTAATATAAGTAATACAGTCAATTCTTATTATAACGAACTCTATGTCTTAGATCTCAACTTCACTATAAGGCTATAGTGAAAATTTTAAGAGATTTGATTGGCCAATTCGTTATAACAAGAGTATTTTTATTATATTTGTTCAAAAATTCATTATATCAAGAGTTCGCTATATCAAGAGTTGACTGTATGCTTCAGTGTAAATTAACATTTTACTAATTAAATTATATTTTGATAAATATAATTATTTTTTAAAATTTATAATAAATAATATTAAATTAGTGTAATTAAGTTTAACATTATTAAAATTAAATAATGTTAAAGTATAATAAGTAGGATTGTATACTTATTTATCTTGAAGTTTCATTAAATTTTCTTTATGAATTATTCTTATATAATTATTCGTATTAAATAAGAATTTTCTGTCATAAAATCTAATTACAGATTAATAATCATATCTTATTAATAAATTTTATTAATTAATATTATTCTTATTAATTTGAGATAGTTTTTTAATTATTAAAAAGATTTTCAATATAAACCTTCTAGTTTGCTTAATAAGTATTATAATTATGTAAACATAAATAATTAAAATTTATAGCTAATATTTTTTTTTTAATATGAAAAATAATTTATTTTTAATTAATCTAAAATCTCAAATAAAACTATTTTTTTATTAAGTTTTACATATGATAAGACAACTTGTTATATTAGATTTTATTTGAAAGAGTCTTTATTTATTTCTCTAGCAAGTATAACATTTGCTTTATATTTTATAGTTTTTGTAAAATTACATTTAGAAAATCATTACTAAGTTATAATAATGTAAATATTTTTTTTTATTATTTTTCATTTGTTTTGATAATAAAATTAGGACATTTTTTTAAATATTGAATTATTTAATCTTTCTTATTTAGAAATCATATTTTATATTCTTTCTATTTTTTCAAGTTTTTATATATAGTTTACAATAATTTTTATTAACTTTAACATTTATTTTGATAATATATTGAATTAACAAAGAAAAAAGTGATGGTATAGTGAAAAAAGTGAAAGTTTTTTTATGGTTTAGATTGTAAACAATTCTAAAAATTTAAAATTGTCTCAGAAAATCTGAAAAAATACTTAGATATTATTTATGATAAATGTTAATTAAAACATCTTTTAAGTTATAGACAATAGACATAGAATATGAATATTAATGTTTAAGCAAAATGTTGTGATTGTAAATAGTATTTATATACAATATTATCAATAGTATTTCAGTTAACTACTAAATAAAAATATAAATACTTTTCTTTTTGAAGTTAAAAAAAAAGATATTTTTTAATTATAATTTAGATCAGCAATTTTAGGTGGATCAGAAGAAATAGGGATATTCAAGTTTAATTGATTATTATTAATCTCACTTTGATTATTTTTTATTATCCTTTTCTAAAAAGAATACTTTTTGGAATATCAACTAATTGAAAAATAAGCAGGTTTATATATTCATTTTCCTTTTGATATACCAAATATAGAAATACATCTAAGAGAAAATTGGGATTTAAAACTTCATAATGGATAATTTGATGAATTTATCAGTTGACAATGCATTTATATGTTTTATTTCTCCAATACCCTTCTTTTTTATATCTTTAAAAGGCTATCAAAACAAGCATACAATCTGAAAAATCATTTTTATTATGTAAATTATACTTCCATTCTGGTTTGACATCTTGCAAGTATCTGCTAAAGCATTTTTTAAAGAAGTTCGCAAATAGTGTTCACACTTTTTAGTAGATAAACTGCAGATAATTTATAACTGGAAGTTCAATAATGTCTTTATCTTGACCTTCTAGAAGATAATCATAATAAACATCTGTTCTCCACTTGTTCATAAATTTAACCCATTTTTTAGTATTATTTTTAGATACTCTGCCTTGGAAAGTGCTGAGAGTTGATCAAGAGAAGGTAAAAAATTGCTTCGAAATATTTGTGACATATTGTAGAAAACAAGATAAATAGAAACAATAAAATGAAGTGTAAAATCATTTATTCATAATAAAAAAGTTTAAATAAACTTATATATTAAGCACAATAATACAATTATTCAGCACTGTGTGACCTCGACTGCGGGCACTAATGTGCCTTACAATAATCAATGTAATAAGTGAATTTGCTGAGCTCCGCTCAGCAAATTTCACCAACCACATTACTTTTTGCAACTTTTAAAAATATTTGTGAATATGTATACATAAAACACGCTCTCATCTTAAACTTATTCGTTCATTTATTATATTTTTGTAAAGTAATACATGAAAAGAAGCTGGACAGCAAAATGATGAGAAGTTGATAATTTTCATTTTACGAATTTTTCGTTTAATGCTATCTTGGGATAATTAACGTTGATAAAAATTATTCATGTATGATTTATTTGTCAATAACGTTCTATAGATCGACAGATCGATCTCCGACGCGATGTACTCCGGAGCTGACAAAGGTGGTGAAACTTTTTCATTTGCCAAATGCAAGATTATCGTCACGTGACGAAATCTTCGTTCGTTAAACAAATCGGAACAAACTTGACCTTCGCTCCGTGGAAAAATCCGGACGTAATTGGCCATAATTATGATGAATGAATACCGAACCTTCAACAAATTCATCATGTGAGAGATAAGCAACATCTAATCTCTTATGAGAAATCAACAATCAAACTTACTTTAAATGCACATCATGTTTTGGTTCAGCAGCATGAGAATTAGGTCGGTCAATATAACCAAACTAGTTAATTTGCAGATATTGTGACAATAAATTTAGAACTGAACTACATATAAAAAAAAAAAAAATAAAAAAAAAAATTTAAATTTATATACCTCATCATTTTAAAAAAATAAATAAATAAATAATGTCTGCGTCAAATGAATTGTATGAGTCATGGATTGAGAACGCCATAAGTAATCAACACATTCAGCTGTTTAGCCACGGAGATTTTATAAATAAGGATAAGTGCGGAAAAGGTGGATTAGGTCAAATAAAATGTGCTAATTGGCAATATTCAGATGGAAAAGTAGCATTAAAGGAATTATTTGATTACAACGTTCAAAGATTCGTACAAGAGGTAACTTCATTCGTTTGCATCTTTTTTTTTTCATTCATTCATTTATTTATTCAACTTTATGTGTAGGTGAAAATGCATATCTCATGTCATTGGAGCGAATATGTTGTACGTTTCTTTGGATTGACAAAAGGTTAAATTGGTTATGCAAAAGTTTTTCATATTATGTAAAGTAAAAAAAAAAAAAATTAATCGATGCAATACCAACTTTATTCATTCATTTTGACAGAATCCCCAAACGATAAGTACATGATGGTTATGGAATATGCCAACTTTCAAAGTCTTCGAAATTTTTTAAAAGTTAAAGGCGTAACAAACATTGATTGGAAGGTCAGATTTAAACTTTCGCTTGACATAGCCAAAGGACTTAATTGCTTACACTCGCGTAAAATCATTCATCGTGATTTGGTAAGAACCAAACAGAGATCTTTTTAATTCTCATTTATTATAAAATCTAATCTATTGCACTTTTTTGTTTCTCTTAAAAAATAAATATATGTAAAAGCATACTGATAATATAGTAATAAATCAAATATATTGGAATAAAAACTGTTGTCAACCGAAATTTATAGCAAAAATCACAGATTTTGGGGAAGCAATATTTAGGGATGAAATATTGAGTGATGACAAAGGTTTTGGTCAGCCTGAATTCACAGATCCCAATTATTTGAATAGTAGGATAAAAAGAGATGAGAGATCGGACATTTATGGTTTGGGAGTTATTTTTTGGGAAATTTCATCTGGTAAAATGCCATTTGAAAATCATGCTCGACACTCTCAAAACGATATAATAAATTTAACAATTCAGATAATAAATGGAAAACGTGAGGAAGTACCTCAACAAACTCCAAAACTTTATTCCCAACTCTATCAAGATTGTTGGGTCCTTGATCAAAGTAAACGACCGACACTTGAAAATATTATCAGGGTATTAAATGTTTTCAAAACGGAATATAGAGAAGGTAAAAAGACTTGTTTTTCAATTGAATTCACGTTTAAGCATAAATTAAATTGCAATTATCATATAGTAGATACCAGTACTGATGAAGAAAATAACAATGCTCAACAAGATAATGTATCAAATAACAGTAATGAAATGGAAGCTGATAATGAAACTTATGTAACGGATAATAATCTTCATGACTTGGATGTGAAGAATTTCTTAACTAGGAATTGAATGTTGAATTTGAAAGTTTCTTAATTAAGGAAATTTAGAGTAGTAATAGACGCAATTAAAACCATTAGAAGCAACTTACACATTTAACCTTGATTATGTGAAAGCTTTCTTAGTAGAAGTAATTCATCGTAACATTGACCAAAATAAATGCCAGTCGGAAAAGCAATAGAAAAGGAAATTCTTTTATCATGAAATTGCAATACGTAGGTTATATAGATAAAAAATGATACAGAAAAGTATAAAACACAAGAATTCAAAAAGTCATAAGAAATGGGTTTTAGCTTCGTGAAGAATATTGAAGAAAGTGACATGTGCGTTATCGCAAAAGAGTAACGAGAATTAAACACCGAATAGGTCACGAGTACAAATGTATGCGTAAAAAATAAAGTTTAATCGTTTATCAAGAATTTCAATATTTCAATTATTTAATTGTTTTAAAGCTGACGGAGTATGCGTGAAAAAAAAATAACATTTACCATTATTTTCTATTTTTTATTTACTTTTAATGAATTAGGTTAAAACAAAATAAATCCACAAAAACAGATGTACTAATCAACTCAGGTACATAAAATAGTTAATATTATAAAATATGTAAAAGTTTATCATAAACCATTTCAATTGTTGGCCTATTTGACGACTTCCCATCCCAACAACTCTCATAAAGTTCAATATATTTTACAGGAGCATTAATAATTTTGTGTTCTCTATAGCCATCTTCTTTGATCTTGCGAACCAATTTTAAAATACCTTCGTCTTTATTCTTTGAATATGGAATTTTACCACTTAATATTTCCCACAGCAAACTTCCAAAACTATAAATATCCATTGATTTATTCTTTTCAAAATCTTCATTTAATAATGAAGATGGATCGATGTATCCGATATTGTCAAAAAATTGTTGATAAAAAAAAACGGATTTGTTTTTTTCATATGGTAATGGCAAGTCCGAGATTTGTGCCATTCCTTCAAACATAAGGATATTTTTTGGATGCTATAAAAAAAAAAAAAATTAAAATAAAATAAAAAATAAAATACTATTATTTAATAAAAAGCAAAAAGGAAATAATCAAATTAATCATAAAAACTTCACTTACTAAATTTTCATGGATAATATCTTTTATGTGTAAATATTTGATGCCGTCTGCAATGTTTATTGCAATGCCAACCTTTTTCTTTAAAGAAAATTCTCTGTTTTTTAAATAACTCCTTAAATTACCTTCAAGAGCAAATGGTATTATTAAAAAAGCGTTACAATCTTCATCTATAGAAACCAAAATAATGTTAACCTTTTTTTTTTTAAAAAAAAAAAAAAAAAAATACTAAAGTTATTTACCTTCAAATATTCCTAAACATTCAATAATATTGGATTTTCTACATGCTTTGGTCCAAAAATTCAACTATAAAAAAAATATATATGTATATTAATAATAAATAGGAGAGCATCAATAATTACCGATCAACTTTTTTACAAACTTACTTTTTTTCGTACCAATAACGATTTTTCATTTTGTAATTTCTGTAATTTCTGTAATTTCTTAATAATAACTTCTTTGCCCGTTACCATCGTTGCCGACCTAATATTACTTTGACAATTTTCAAACTTTCGTATGTTAGTTATTTGACTTTTGTCAATTTTATTGAACTCATCGTCAACAAATTCATTGATAGCTGTAACTTTAAATCCATCATCTTGATGATTTAATCTATCCCTAGGTTTACTAAAATTAACTGGACCATTGCTAAATTCATTATTAAAATAATTTTGAGGTAATGATCTATATATCGATATGGAATTTTCGGAAAATATATTATTGTTATGCTTATTGGGATCAAAAATGATTCCGTTTTGAAATGATTTGTCAATTTCTTGATAATCTAAATCAAAATTATATGATTAGGGTAACGTTAAACAATAAAAGGCTTTTTGATAAGTATTATTAGGCTTACTATAATCTTGTTCAGGGGTTTCATTATATCTAGTATTATGAAAATTTTCCGAACCTTTAATTAAAAAGGATCCAATTAGAATTTTTTTTTTTTTAAAAAAAAAAAGGGGGGAAAAGGAAGAAAGAAAATATTATACAATCTTACTAGTTGCTTGCTCAAGTATATTACTGGTTTGCTCTGACGAAACAACTCGATTGACAATTTGTTTGATATGGGAGGGATCAAAATCAAATAAGAATCCGTCTGAAAAAAAATCTACCACTTCATTAATCGTAGGACGATCCGAAGGAACTGTGTTCCAACATTTGGTAAGTAATTCCTTGAGTAAAGGTGGAATGTCTCTGATAAACAGTGGTCGATCCTCATTATTGATACTTCTTGGAAATTCGTAAAATGGTTCTTTTTCAAAAATAATATTATATAAAACCATTCCAAGTGAATATATATTAGATGTTTGACTAACTTTGTTATCCCCTAAAATCTCGGGTGCGACATAAACTATTTTCGATCCTTGTCTGAAATTGGTAAAAATAGAAATTCTTGCGTTATTAAAATCGTCTATTAAAATATTGTTTGAATTAAAATATCCTAAACTAATGTTTGTATCGTGAATATTTTTTAAACCGATTACTATTTCCTTCATCATTTTATATTTTTTATTCAAATCTAATTTATTCTCTTTCAAATATTGACCCAGGCCTTTCCCATCTTCCATAACTAAAATATATTCACTTGATTCCGGATTTAAGGAAAATCCAAACAATCTAACAACATTATTTCTAATCCGTAGATAATTCTTTATCTAAATTTAAAATTTAAAATTAAAATTAAAAATTCACCGAACGCTATGCAAATTAATTATGTGAATCTTTTTAATACCTGTGAAAGAACTTCAGAAAGTTTCTCGTCGTTGATGCATTGCAACCCAACTTTAATGTTATTGTTTTGTCCAAGTTCGATATTTTCGTCTATCAAAAGTGCTACATAATATCCTTTGCTTTCATCATACACGACGTCTTTCAACCTATTATAATTTATCCATTTCAATTCATAAAACGTTTGATATTGGGTTTCTCGTATGAACCTCTCCATAGTTTCTTTTCCGTTGATCCAACCTTCATTTTGTCGCTTATTATCTTCATAAAATGATTGAGAATTCGATCCAGAAGGGTCAGAAGGGTCATAATCAAGCATTTCAACATCATCATCGGGTTCCAGCGAACTTTGTTGATTTTCTTGTTTTTCTTTATGGCTCATAATTAAAAAGTATAAAGTCCGATTTTATTATAAATTAAAAAACAACAAATTAATTTATTATTTATGATTGTCGGAGAAGAGCTCCACCCCTTAAATGTTGTGATACATGTTGTTCTTTTATAAGAAGAAATGATCGTCAAAATTAGAAGATATTCCCGGAATTTTCTATTTATTTAAACCTTCCTTTTTTTTTTTTTTTTTTCCTTCTAGAGCATTTATATCAAAGATTCATTTTTTTGTGAAATTAAACCAAACCAATTTTTTTTTTTTTCCTTTCGAGATTTTTCTATATAACTGTATATAAATCCAACCTTTTGGGTCAAAAGAAAAAGGATTATCATAGATTTAGTTTCTTTGCGAAACCTTCGATTTTTTGAACAAAAAAAAAAAAAAAAATCATCGTCGTAAATTATAACAATTTCTCGCATATTTTTCGAAATTAAATATATTTATAATCTAAATTTTTTACAAAAATTCAAAAAATGTCAAACGTAAACAATGAATATAAAATTAATAGCGTCGGCGGTACCTATGCGGCCAAAACAATGAAATGCGTTAATGAGGCAGTAGCACCTTTCTTGCCTCTTGTGATCGTGATAACTACCCTAACCAAAGAAATAGCGGATGCTTATGAAAATGTTCAATATAATAAAAAGACATGTGGGGCATTAGTAACTCGAGTCGAAGCCGTAGAAGTTGCGATTAAAGGGTTAATAAGGCAAAAGGAAGAGAATATTGATAAATTTTGTAGTCAAAGTTATTATAATTCCTTTTCAAAGTTAGCCAACTGTTTAAAGCAGATTAAAGAATTTTTTAATGATATTTCTCAATTATCGAAATTTAAAAAATTTGTTTCAAGTAGAAGCATAAAGGACACCTTTGAAAAGATCATAAAAGATCTTGATAGTTGCTCGATTGATCTGAATTTGGCAATATCGATTGCCACGGAACAGTTGAATTCAATTTTACATTCCGATATGATTGAAATGAAGATGTTTTTAGATAATATTGAAGGTGGTATTACATCTTTGGTCAATAATAACAAAAAAATCGATAATTCCACCGAATGTAGCGTAAATAATAATAACATCGTTATTAAAATTAATAACATTGAAGAGCAGAATAAAAAAATCATTGAACAAAATAATGAACTCTTAGAATACAAGGACAAGGGCAAGCATAAAACGCTTAACTTTATTCCACTCAACGGAGAAATTGATGCGATTCGTTTCTTGAATGAAAATGATACAACTTCAAAGGTTGACCCAGAAGCGAAAGCAAAGCAAATTGAATCTTCGGAATTGACAGAAGCGGCAGAAAGAGTAACTCGTGGTTCCAAGAAAACCGTTTTAAAAAAAGTTTATAAAACAATAGATGTTGCTTGCAAACAGATTCCTATGGACAAGATTGTTCAAAAGCATCTTGCTATTTTGGGAAAGTTAGAAGCTTGTCCACATATTATTCGGTTTTATGGATTATCAAAGTTAGACCGAGTTGATGTAATGGTTTTTGAATGGGCCGAATACGGAAATTTAAGGGAGGTTTATCTCGAGTATAATATTGAATGGGACACGAAGATTTCTTTGGCAAGAGACATTTGCCGTGGTCTAATTTTTTTACATGCAGGTATGAACATTTGATTTTCGTGTTTCAAGATGTGTCAAGGAATGATAAATTAACGTAATTTACCATCAAAACTCAGTGAAGATTTTGCATCATGACATTAGGTGTGAGAATGTGTTAATTACCGAAAAAATGCAACCTAAAATCTGCAATTTCAAATTTTCTCGAGAATTTAATGCTGTCACCAGTCAAATTGATGATATGAATGCTATCGTACATTGGTTGGCTCCTGAAAAGTTAAAAAACATAAATTCGGATCAAGACTCGAAAAAATATAATAATAAAACAACTAGTTATACCATTCAATGTGACATTTTCAGGTTAGTAAATTGACCTTTTTTTTTTTTGTCATTAATTTCGATTCGATTCTTAATTTTTTTATTTAAAATTTTTTTTTTAGTTTTGTAATGCTTCTTTGGGAACTTGGCTTTCAAGAAAGGCCATATGACGATAAGAGCATTTCTGAAATACAAAAACACGTTTTAAAAGGTCATAGGGAAAGGTTGGACGATGGATTAAGTTCAAATCAAATCAAAAAAGAGTATTTCGCAATTATTAAACTTGGTTGGGAACAAGAACCATCATTACGACCGGGGATTCAGCAAATTTTCAATATGTTACAGAAGTTATATGAGAAGCATGTCTTAAAGTATTCACCGAGATTACGTCCGAAGGAAGAAGATATAGACGTTGATGAAGAGATACAAAATTTATCAGTTTTGGATCATGATAAAAAGGTTATACCATTAACACCATTCAAGGAAGGTTTAGTGGCTCACAAAAAACATGATTATAACAAGGCGTGGAATTGTTTTGAGGAACACGCAAAGGTTGGAGATATATTGGCGAAATACTGGCAGGGTTATTATTACTTGGAAGGAAAATACGTTGAAAAGAATCTTTTAAAGGCTAAGGAATTATTTAAAGAAGCAGCAGATGGTGGAAATGCTGATGCTCAATTACGTTATGCATTTTGTTTAATTGATAAGGAAAATGAGCATATCGACTATCAAAAGTTTTTAAAATATTTGAAAATGTCAGCTGATAATGATAATTCCACTGCCCTTTATAATCTGGGTGAAATGTATTTCAATGGTAGGATGGGTGTTGCAAAGGATCGAGAAAAGGGTATTCAATATTTAAAATTGGCTGCTTTAAAAGGTCAACCGAAAGCAAAAGATATTTTGAGAACCAATGATATTAGTTATATTTTTTGATGCTCATAACTTGTATATTGATGTATCATTTTTTTTTTTGTTTATAAATAAATGCGATATAAAAATTTTGAACATTCGTCCGGAAAATTAATGAAGTAAGTTACCTTATACTGTACTTTTATTGTCAGCCTGAAACCAAACAAAATAAATATGAAATCTCTTTTATACGTAAATCGATGCAATGAGTTCAAGTCGTGAACCGCTCCTCAACAATTTTTATGAAAAGAAACTACCCAAGTTTTGATTTTAATATATTTGTGGCTGAATTCTCTTTAAGCATAAGATTCTTCGGTCGGTACAGTAATTGTATATTAGAACCTTCATGAAATTCTGAACTTTCTTTACATACTATTATTAGTAAAGCGTTTGGAGAAATTTTACCAATATTAAACAACTTTTTATAAAAATCACAAGAAAGAAGGAAATTTCCCATCATAGATAGTAATTTTATCTGCTCTGGAGTTTTTTACTTTGAGCTTTAGAAAAGGTTTTGAAGGTCTATCATTTCATATTTAGAAATATTAAATTTCAAATTTATGTCTAGATCATCCTATAAGTCGCATGTGACTTCATGATATAATTATATCATGAAGTCACATGCGACTTAGATTAGGTTATGAAGGTAACTTCATAGTCTGCCGGTAACTTCATAATATAGTGGTAACTTCATAGTCTGTTGGTATCTTCATAATATAATGGTAACTTCATAGTCTGTTAGTATCTTCATAATATAATGGTAATATCATAATCTAATTACATGATCTGGTAGTAACTTCATAACCTACTATTCATAATCTGATGGTGATTTTATAACCTACTTATGGGTAGCTTCTTTGCATTTATAACATTGTTTTAATCGTTTCTTGTATATTATGGTGGTGATTTTATAGTCTAATGGTGGCTAGGAATGCTTTAATTTAATGGTGATGTCATAATCTAATAGTGTTTGCTTTCTTCTTGTTTCTAATTCGTTTAGATGATAAATTCTATATTATTGATACTGGCTTTCTATAGCTGTTTAGATATCTGATTTTATGTTGAGGATTCTGGCCTCCTATGCCTGATTGGATGCTGGATTCTATGTTAGAGTGCTTTTCCTTTGTGCCTATTTGATTGCCTTTCTAGATGCTAAAATCATGTAAAAAAAAAGGTGATAGGTGGCATAGTAAATTCGATATAAATCTATGTCTAAATTTGATCAGTACTATGGCATAATTTCTAATCGATATTTTGGGCACATGATCTGAAGAATCCAAGTTAGCACTATAGTAGCATCATAGAAGTGGTAAGGAACTAGTATAGTTCTATTAGTTCACCAGTTCCATATGCTTATTTGAATGCTGAGTTATTATGCCCCTTAGCCTAACCCATTTGATTGCCGGAAGTGTATCATTTGTAACTCAACTATTATACCAATATAAGTATGCCATTTTCACATCCTGAAGCTCAAATTATTATCACGTGATTCAATATATAATTTTATGAGATGTTGTTAGACCGTTGTTACAAAATGAGTAAGCATAATATTTATCTTATTCATCTTATAAAGTATATTCATATTCCGTAAGTGTTTCTATCATATTTCATCTTAATTGAATATAGAGTAAATATCGGGCATAGTAATATCTATGCGAATAAAGCTATTCTAGTATTAGAATAAATTAGCTATATATTTTACTTATGATTTTAGATCGATCTAATTTATATTTCCATTCTTTATTATTACTACCTACTCATACCTGTTTACAGTTGATATCTATTTGTGAAAATTTTTTACCAAGAGGATTGCTACTTAATACTTATTCATCATTTTTATCACACCAAGTAAGATAATCCTGATATAAAGTAGCACAACATATTTATTTGCAAAGAATGTACTTAGGCCATAATTAAACATAATCTATTATGAACCGTTTGGCATTAGAATAAGGCATTTCGCTAGAGCTTACTATCTTATTTTGTTTTCCATTTTTCTGATAGCTAATTGCATTTTTAAGCCTAATATTTTCGTTTCTAAGTTCATTAACTTCTTCTCTTAATGAATCGATCTCCAATTGCATATTTAAAATCTTGCGAGTCAATATGAGTTCACATTATAAATTAGTGTTTTGCCGTCTCAAAGAATAATTTTCAAAATCTATTATTGTATACACTTTAGGATAATTATTTTTTATGTATCCTTATTAATAAAATATATTACATCTTATCTTATAAAAAATCGTCAAGAAGGTGCTAGAAGTACTTTGTTAAGTTTTTTTGCTGTCCCTAAAAAAATGCAGGGAAATTTTTCTAAGAACGCTTTTAAGAACAACTATGATATCAATTTTTGGGTTTTTAAGTTTATTGATTGTGTTCTTCTATCTATGTCCTTAGTGTCCCTAGTATTCTTAATAAAAAATAAGTTGTAAAAAAAAATTTGAAACTTTTCTTATACTACTTATGTATGCTATATGGGTAATATATAGATACTATATGGATGGTATATGTATAATATACGTATGCTTAAAAAATAAAAAAAGTAAAGAACTCTGAAATTTACTAAAGACTCTAGGGACACTAAGGACGCCTATCTAGAAGCTATTCTAAGATTCTAAAAACATCAAAAAGTCTACTTTCAACATCTTCAGAAGTATCCCCTGCATTTTTTCTAGAGACAACTTTCTAAGGCCAGCACTCTATTGTATCAGATATTTTTATTTTATCAAGATCCCGTTTTAATGCATCTGGAGTCTGCCCATTCTGAAACATCTTATCCAACTTTTTCCGCTGATAATATGCCTTTGAATAACACTTCTGGACATGCAAATTACAAAACCCATATTTAAAAGCTGTCAGTCTTACATATCTATCTTATTTGCATTGAGCTCGCTGAAGTCTTTTCAGTGAATACTACACCCTTCTGGTCGCGTACTTCCATTCTCACAAACTATATCTTCATCAGAGCGATACTGGCAAATGTATTCATCCTTCGCAATGTAATTATCAATGAAAATAAATATGTCATCAGAATCATCCATCTTCAGTATTATTCTCAGTTAATTTTTGATATCTATAATAATATTTATTTTTATTTTGAACTTTTTTCCTAGGGTATTATACCGAAGGGTATACTTAGTTA